GTTGTCTATTGAAGATTGCCTCATCTTGAACCTCTACACTTAATGTACTCAAAATGACATTAATAGCTTGAGTATTGAGTTGCACACATATCTCTTTTTCTTTTGACAAATTTTTGTAGTTGCTCCAATCAACTATAGGAAGAGGTATGCTTGCATCCACAATATGCTCAACAAAAGGACTAATATCCCTAAAAGCATTGAGTACATTAATTGACCAAGATAGAAAGTTTGAACCATCATTTTGGAGAAGCACCGGCTCCAACTCGATAGGCGTCGACATTCTTTTCTCATGGTGGTGAAGCTTTAGGTGAGAACTTTGCTCTGATACCAATTGAAAGGACCTAGGATGTCGCCTAGAGGGGGGGTGAATAGGCGTTTCTGAAAATTAACACCTTTAAATGCGGAAACAATTAGAAAGGGGAGTTTCCAAAATGAAAACTCCAAATTAAGAGTACTACCACCCCTCATAAGTTAGCCACAGAGTAAACAAGGTATAAAGAATATATCTAGAAGCTACCACCCTGCAACACCAAGTTAGAACAGAGAATAAATATTTTCAATGCAGGTAGAAAATACCGGACGTGTCCGGTATGAATACCAGACGTGTCCGGTATACACGATTTCTACAGATCGGCCCCGAACTTGCTCATTTCGATTTCTATCTTCAAACCAAACTACAGGCACCTAATAGAGATGACAATATACACAGAGAACCTGCACAAGATCTAGAGCAACACAAATATCGAATGGAATGCGAATTAAGACACGATATTTGTTTTACTGAAGTTCAGACTCGTTCGAGTCCTACTCTCCGTTGAGGGGGCTGCGGGTGACCCAGCGAAGGTCAGCCCTAGAGGTTACCACGAAGGTCACTCTAGCCGGAGTCTTTTCCAACTCCTTTTCCTCCTTCCACTAATTGATTCCGAGGCGGCGGAATCGACCGTTACAAACTTCTGAAGCAACCACAATCTCTCGGTTGCTCTCCGACGACGCCTAGCCGTCTAGGACCGAAGAGTCCAAGAGTAACAAATGCGAATCACGAGATTGACAATATGCACAAGTGCTCAAGTGGTGGCTTGCTCTCTTTTTCAAATTCTCTCTTAACCCACAAATTGATTTGGCAAGTTTGATCAATCACTCACTAAGAGAGGGTTGGGAGAGTTGGCAAGGCTTAAAAATGTGTATGTATGTCAGCAGAATCAGCAGCCTCCAAAGGTGGAGGCTTGGGGGTATTTATAGCCCCCTTGGAAAAACTAGCCGTTTTATAGCCGTCGCAATACCGGACATGTCCGGTATGCATACCGAACACGTCCGGGTATGACTTACACTGCACCAACGGTAACTAAGTTACAGTGAATTTGTGAGGCGTCGGAACTCTCGATGAATGCCGGGACTTCCGACCGTCGGAACTCCCGACTTACGTCGGAACTCCTGATCCTCAGCACATTTGAAAACATCAGAACTGAGTTAAAGCGTGTGAGGTGTTGGAACTCCCGACGTATGTCGGAACTTCCGACCGTCGGAACTCCCGACCCTCACGGCATTTGAAAAGTAGCCGTTGGCCTCTGGTCATCCATACCGACCACCACAGTGAACACTCCAAATTATTTAAATTGCAAGTCGCCGGAACTCCCAACCATTGCCAAAACTTCCGACCGTCGGAACTCCCGACATGCGTCAGAACTCCCCACGAACCAACCCGAGAACAACACTTTTACAGTTACTGGGCAAATACCGGACACGTCCGGTATGTCTGGTATGGCCAGACCAGCAACAAGTCAGTTAGCTCTTTTGTCTCTCAAACATTCAAATCTCACATGGGTTGGCTTGAACACTTATGAAATATTATCTATCAACATGATGCATCCCTCTTAATAGTACGGCATTCCTATTTACTCAAATTTAAAAGTATAACCGATTTAAACCTTTTGAGTTGCTCTTTTTGAACCGAAGCCGTGTATTCCAATCTTCGTCAAGTGAGGGTGCCAACATGTTGATATTGATCTTTTTCACTAGAGCATAGCCATCTTGAGCATGTGACTTGATTCCATTCATCATATTTGAATAATCCTAAATGTATCAAGTCACTTCCATCAAACACTCCAACAGTGATTTGATCCTTCACATAAACATGGCCATCATAGCTTGATTAGTATCTCAACTAAATGCAAGTACTTCCTTCTTCACCCTAGCTAGGTTCTTCGGCTGTCAAGCCGTCGCTTGCCCTTCACCCTTGCTTAGTACCTCGAAGCCTTTCCTTGCTATCTTGACCATCTCAAGCCATCAAGTCACATCTTGTGTTGAATCATTCATTCATGTATTGTTATCTTTTTCATTTCAATTTTAGCAAGCTTCAAATATGAGACCATTCCATATGCAAACCCTTATGTCTCATTAATTAATTCTCACAAGCTTGTTTTTACATAGTACATGGAAATCCCACAATAAACAAGCCTTTGCATGAATTTCATTTGCATTGTTGTCTTGTGCTTGAACTAGATTGTTTATACAACTCACATCATTTTGGCTTTCATTAAGTACCTATGAGATAACCTATTACATGTCCACACTTAGCAAACGGGTTAGACCTTTAATCACGTTGTCATTCAATCATCCAAAACCCACTAAAGGGCTAGATGCACTTTTAGATGGCGTCATACAACCTTGAAGACGGCCCCCAAATGTGGTTCCTCCAAGTGCAGCAGGACGAGGGTACGCCGTCTTGGCGTCGATTCTCCGAGCTCCTCAACCTCCGCTTTGGGCCTCCGATCCGCTCCAACCCCTTGATTCAGCTAATGGCGTGCAAGCGACGAGGCTCGATAGCGAGTATCGTAACCGCTTGAGGCGCTGCTTCTCGCTCACGCGTCGTCGCCTACCCGAGGCGCAGCGCATAAGCTGCGTTCACAGCAGGAGGGCATCTGCGACCCGCCGCTCGGCCTCGACATGGAAGTTCACAACCCGCATTCCTTGTCATCGCCATGAGCCTCATGCAAGCCAAGCTGGAGCTGCACGAGTACTACTACGCCGCCATTGTTCCAGCTCCGCTGCCGCCCCCACAAGAGCCACGCAGGCTTCTTCTTGCTTGGGGCACCACCACACCTGCCCCTACCACCCCCCCCCCACCGCGCTACCCCTTCTCTCACCGTCGAGGGCCGCCAGGTGAAGTGGCTGTCGCAATCAGAGATGGAGGAGCGGCGCCGCTTGGGCCTCTATTTCAACTGCAACGAGAAGTTTGGCAGGGGTCACAACCGTGTCTGCCAACACATCTTCCTCCTCGATCTGGCCGAGGCCGATGGTGACAATGATCCTGAGCAGACCGATGCTGCGGTTGCTAGCCCGCTCATCTCACTACTCGCCATGGTAGGCGTCCGCTCCAGCGAGACCATGGAGGTCCGCATCCAGCTAGGCGGGGCATCCTTACTAGCCCTGCTGGACTCGGGCTCCACCCACAACTTCGTCTCTAAGGAAGCAGCGGCACGCACCTCCCTCAAGCTCCGACCCCGCGTCAACATGAAGGTCACGGTGGCAAATGGGGAACGGGTGCCATGCCCCGGCGTCTACCATGTCATTTCCTTCTCCCTTGTCGGCGAACCATTCTCCACCGACTTCTTCGCACTACCTCTGGCCAGTTACGACGTCGTCCTCGACACCGAGTGGCTGGCCTCCCTTGGCCCGATCCTCTAGGATTTTGGCGCACTCACCATGTCCTTCTGGCACCGAGATCACAGGGTGTGCTGGACAAGCATCGCTGGGGGCACAGGCCCCTCTCTACGGACGTCCAGCGTAGCTGATCTCCTGCTAACCCTGCTGGACGATTGCCCCCGTCAGTGGCTGCGCTGGCTGCCATGGGTGGAATACATCTACAACACTGCCTTTCAGTCCGCGCTCAAGACCATGCCATTCTAGCTCATCTACGGCCGTGAGTTACCCTCCATCCGCTCCTATGAGCCGGGCGAAACCAGGTTGGCTGCCGTGGCCAAGACCATGGCGAAATGCGATGATATGCTGGCTGATGCCTCAGGCCCGGCTGAAGCAAGCTCAGGACGTCTACAAGTGGTTCTACAACAAGTTCACTACATCGTGGGTGATTGGGTCTGGCTTTGTCTCCACCAGCGCGCCCCGGCCTCCCTCCACGGCGTCACCAAAGGGAAGTTGCGGGCCTGGTATTATGGGCCGTACCGCATCTCTACCATCATCAATGACGTCGCCTACCACCTCGAGTTCCCTCCCCGCGCAAGGCTGCACGATGTCTTCCACGTCGGGCTCCTGAAGAAGTTCATGGGCACTCCCCTGGCCATCCCCCCGGCTCTGCCTCCTATGCATCATGGCACCACACAGCTGGTTCCAGAATGCGCCTCATGCATCAGGCTGGCTCGAGGCGTCTGCCAAGTCCTGATACATTGGCAAGGTGAGCCCTCAGCCTCCGCTACCTGGGAGGACATTGACAGCTTCACCAAGCGTTACCCAAGCTTCCAGCTCGAGGACGAGCTGCTCGTCGAGGGAGGGGTAGATGTCATGTGGGGGCGCCAATATCAAAGGCGCCCAAGGCTCGAGATGCACCAGGCGGGTCTCTCAAGGGGCACCAACTGTAGTTAATGATAATTAGTAGTCTAGGAAAGGATAGAATTAATGAGAGATTAAGGATGATTAATGGGGAGAGAACCAAGGAGCTTGTGGCTGGCGCCTAGGGGCTGGGCAGTCCTATATATATCCTGTAATCAGCTTATGAGAGGGCAATCAAGAAACAAGTTATCTCCTAATCTACCTCTGCTGCTCTTAATTTGATCCCCTTCATCTTAATCTCATCATCTTCAACATAGGGCGTCCAGGAGATAAACCCCACGCCATTACCAACCCAAGCTACGAGCTTCATAGTGAAGGGCTTGCTACCTTGAGCACCGACGCCCTTGACATAAATAAAGTATTAAGGACAAACATTCTTGCTATGTTAGAATATCTGCTTAAATAGTATATAGATGAGAAGAGTTATAATGCAGTACCTGACCAAGACCTTGCAAGCTAAGAGCTTTAAGATTTCCCTCTGCTAGATCTACTGGAAGTTTTCTTCTGAAATTAAAACAACAAACAGGATAATTCAGTGGGTGTATTGCAAATTTTGTCTTCTCAGATATTCACATTATTAGATCCTCGAGCATTAAACTTTCTTTTAGGTGGTATATGTATGAGTACATGATGAACTGCACAATCCAAATACCTAGCTACCTTCAAGAAAAGATCAACAGTGGCTTGCCTGCTCTCTGTGCCCGACCACGTGTTTTATGTTGTCAACAGTCGTCACAGCGCACAACATATATCAAGATTGACAATAGTCTTATTAATCCAAAATAAGCATAGATATTAAGTCGAGACCACTAGGTCTATGTTTATCTTGAATCGCCTTCTCGACACTCTTCCGTGACCATCACCATAGGACCTAGGAAGAAGGTGGTGTTAGCCCGCAAGAAGCACACCATGGCCATCAAATGCAAACATAGACCTCAGGAAGGATCTGCCATGGATGTGTCCTAGCCTCGAAACACATTCAAGAACTTGCATAGGTGCATATAGAAGGGAGCCATCAAATGCACATCTTCTGGTTAGCCTCCTCGACTTTGTTTCTTATCTCACCTCCTCATACCAACATTGATGCCGAATCATGATAAATCGTGAAAGCAATTTAACATAAACAAACAAAGGATAGGGATATTTGGTGTACTCACCTTCTTCCACCAATCCTAGCAGAGGTGGCAAGTACTCTTCTAGAGCCTAGAGGAGATTAGCAACACTGCAATCAAATACTACATTCAAAGCAAGAACTTGCACCTTCAGGTGCAATCGTAGGCAGGATTCATATCTTTGCAGACTCACCATGGGCTAGCTTCAATTTCTCTTTACCTCGATTCTCACGCCACAAAGCTCTAGTTTGGTTTTGGTAAATTGATGAAACCCTAAGTGCTAACCTAGTTCATCAAGTGATCATGAGATAGGTAGCACACTTCAAGTAGAGAAGCAAATGAAGATCATAACATGACAATGGTTTGGAGATGATCAAGGGCTTAAACTTGAAGAGAAGAAAGAGAAAACAAAAAGCTCAGGCAAAGGTATAACTTGTAGGAGCTATTTTATTTTGGTGATCAAGACATTGAGAGTGTGATCACATTTAGGTTTGATAAATCTATTAAGAGGTGAAACTCAATTTAATGCGGTTATCAAAGTGCTACTAGATGCTCTAACTCATTGTATTTGCATTTAGGATCTAGTGGAGTGCTAACACCCTTGATAATATTTGTGTAAATATGCTACCACATGTGCACAAGGTGTTTGTAGGGTTGAGATGGGTTTGGGTCCTTCTCTCCCCTTGAAAGCCACCAATTTTTCCGAAGCGTTGAAATCACCCGCAAGCTCGGCGTTGCAAATGAAATGTCTATTTTCTATTGCGCCGATGCAAAATTCTTGGTGGTTGGCACACTTGAGCAAGGGTGAAGAAGTAAGAGTTGAAATGAAGTTGATCGAAATGATGTTGAGGTCCAGTGGACCGATCCATAGCACCGGACGCCGACCGTCATCGTCCCCCTCAAATGCATACTGGTGGCTAGTACCACCGGGACGCCGGCCGTGTCCGGGTCGAGGTGGACCGAAGCGTCAAAGCAAGAATTCGATCAGACGCTGCGGCTCCAGCGTCCGGTCGGTTTCTTTGACCGAGAGCGTCGGTCAATACTTAGCCGCGTTAAGATCTGATGGTTCAGCTTTAACTTTAATGACACGTGGCGTCCATCTATGGACCGGACGCCGAGTCCGAGGTCCGGCCAAGATGACCGGAGCGTCCCGATGGCGTCTCGATCGGTATATTGGAAGTCGCGGTTTGCCCAAAGTGCTTGCCCAAGGGTATAACGGCTCTTTGATTGGGGCTCTATTTATAGCCCCATGGCCGGCTCAAGGGAGCACTCTTGCATTTTCATTGACATAGCAACCTTGTGAGCCTAGCCAAAGCCTTCCCACTCATCTACATCATTGATTCATCATCATAGTGAGATTGGGAGTGAATCCAAGTGCATTGCTTGAGTGATTGCATCTAGAGGCACTTGGTGATTGTGTTTCACAACGATTCACTTGTTACTCTTGGTGGTTGCCGCCATCTAGACGGCTTGGAGTAGCAAGGATCGTTGAGTGGAGGAGGTGATTGTCTCCTACCCTCGTGGTGATTGTGAGGGGTTCTTGACCTTTCCACTCTAGTAAATTGCATGTGGCTTGTGTGATCCTCATCTTGTGTTGGTTAAAGGGCACCCTATTGAGGGTTTGGCATGATGCCAATCTAGCGTGAACCTCCAAGTGAGTGAATCGCCACAACGAGGACTAGCTTGCTGGCAAGCAAGTGAACCTCGGTAAAAATCATTGTGTTCATCATTCGATTCCGAGGTGATTGGTCTACATTGGTATTCATTATTGTGATTGATTGGTTCTACATGGCGGTATAACTCTCTTGCTCACTCTTACATTACATTAGTTATCAAGCTCTTTAGTGTAGCTAGTTGTGAGAGCTTGTTTGTTTGATTAGTGTTGCTCTTTAGTTAGTCTTTGAGAGCACACTAATTTAGCTAAGTGTCATATTTTGTGTGCTCTATTCAAATAGATGTGGTAGGTGCTTACATTTTAGTATATATCATCTAACACATTTTGTTAAGTGTTGTTGTAGAATTTTATTAGGCTATTCACCCCCCCTCTAGCCATTAGGACCTTTCACGCGCAACCCTAGCCCTCGGAGCTGTCGGCCTCTCACTCAAGCTCTTGTTCAGTCATCATCACCTAGTTCTTTGAGACAAGTCTATGGTTCTTGGTACCGGAGACGAAGACAACCACCTGAAGCACTTGATAATCACAATCATTCTCCATTTTGATGCTCCACACCCATGGATGCAGTTTTATATCCGTAAGACAACCATGTTGGAAGCAAAATTGGATGTCTAGCAAGTTCATGGCATGTAACGTGAAGAACACGTGAAGTTTTTCCAATTCGATTGCAAGTTTTTTTGAACAAATAGCAAGTCATAACCAAGAAGTGAAGTTTCCTCAAGGTATAGCAAGTCACTGCAAAAGAAGAACACAAAGGCTAAAACAAAGAATCTTACCTTATGCCGAGTGCTTGTCCTTTATGGTGAACTTTTGGGGTCTTGTTGAGCCACTAGCAAAATATCAAGATCAAAAGCCAAACCTTGAGCTGTGCTCGTTCTCTGTAAACCAACTGCCGCGCTTTTTAAATTCATATATGCAATCAAATGGTGGAGGGGAGGGACGAATAAGGAAAGAATGTTTATCCTATGACAGACCAACGAACATCAAAAGGAGGGTGCAACTTGACCAAATTTAAGGCAATTTGGAAGTTCCTTCGTGGGGGAAAACAAATAAGTTTTTGGCAAGTTGAGGTTACCACGAAGTTTAAAAAGCATGTGCTTCTACTACTTTAGAAAATGGTGCATCATCATCTGGTAAGTAAGCATAACTCGCTGATGTTTGTGTCTCTTTTACTAGTTCAATCAATCTAGAAGCACGAAGATTTGCTCGAGGAACATAAAAGTTCAGAGAAAGATAGCATTAGCTTACCTCGTCTTTGCCAAGGTATCTGATTTGATGCTGATGAACCGTTCCAGAAAACAGATAACAATTTTTAGGGCGATTTGCAAAATACTGTTCCGACTAAATTGTTATCTGTTCCGGCCAAGGTAGCTTATTAGCCTCGTTCGCTGGTCTGAAACTTGGCTAAAAAATACTGTTCCGATTAAATTATTGTGAGAGAAAAACACTATTCCAAAAATAAAAAAAAAGCCGAATAAAAGATAAGCCGAACAGAGCCACGTGACGTGTCTATTTAAAGGTCCGTGTGTCGCGATGGAACCTCCAGGAACGACAAAGACGAACAGAGGCACACGACGACGCTACTGTAGAACAACTCAACAAGGTTCATGAATAAATAATACTCCCTACTAGAATCCTACATATTTAGGAAAAAAAACTGGTTAATAATAACCGAGAATCGTACATGTAATTGTTTTTCAAACACCATATATACGTCGTGCACCTTTCGGTCTTCAATGTTGGATTAGTAAGACGCGAAATTAACATATTATACTGTCTCATGCTTGTTGGTTCGAAAACGGGGAAAAAGAAGAAGAAAAGAAGCATGCCTGCCATGCTGCTTCCGGCAGAAAGAGGCATTGATACCGACGCCACCCGACTCCGTTGGGAGTTTGATGGGCGGATGGTCCAAGAAAACCGAAAGCAGCAGCAGCACATCTACCGCACCGCGCATCACTCTCACGAGTCACGAGTCACGATGGCAGAATCAATCATGTGACTGGGCGCTACTCCTAGTCTTACGCCCCATGTTTCACTGAAGCTGAAATGATCGTATATAATCGTGAATTATTGCTGCTGACTAATTTTGTGTGAGAGAAAAATATATTCTAACTAAAAATTTACTATCGTTTACTACCAAACGAACGGACCAACGGTCGGCAAAATTCAGTATCAGATCTGCCTTAGCGCATTGAGGCATGGTATGGAGGAAGCTGCTTCTGTGCATTCACCTTGACTGCCCATTGGTATTAGTGCTACTAGTTTTGTTTTGCAGAGTGACATGTGTACTGTGTCGCGTGGCAAGAAATAACCAAAAAAATACTTTACTAGCTGGTGTTGACTGCTGCTGACTTTGGGGCAGGATTTTGGAAGCTAGTGAGTAGTCGATACTCATTTGAAGTGGATCCATGCATGTTGTATGGTGTTCGAGCTTAAATTAAACACATGAATGTGCTTATTAGGCAACGTTTTATGCATACGTGTGTGAAGAAAACGTTGCCTGCATAAACTAATGAACAATTGAGACATGTAACGGACGTACCAATACCACTAGTTATCATCCGTCGGGAAAACGATCGCTAAGGAAGTACACGTACGTACATTACCTATTCAAAACGTAATAGGAGTTGCCGCACGCGAGTGACACCGGCGACATGATTACACGTCACGTGGATGAAAATTTGAAATCATACAGATGATACAACACTACAAATTGAAGAGTTGAGAAGGAAAAACTGGAAACTTGTTGGGGGGTTGTTTCATCTGGTAGGGCAATCGCTTACTCTCCCTAGTTCCATTATAATTTTGGACTTGCTATGGACGTCCATTTCTGGACGCTAGCGTCGGACAATACCGCGCCCGTAAAACGCAGTCCACGTTGTCTGTTTTCGCGCGCCCTACCGCATGGACCCGACGCTGCTTCCCGCCCTACCATCACGCTCGCTTTGCTTCGCCTGACCACTGCATGCCCGCGCCTGCACGCAGGAACATCATGTGGGTCCCAGTCACCTGCCCCACCTGTGGATGCGCGTCGCGGATGCGTCTGCCTGCCTCAGGCGTCCGCACGATGACCCACAGCGGCGCCCCAGCTGCTGCGGCGGCTGCGGCAGGTGAGTCCCATTGCAACATGTGCAACACCAGATCTATTTTTGTATCATCCAGATGAAACACTTGCAACATACAACTGAAACCGCTAAAACACTTGCAATATGCGTCAGAAACACTTGCAAGTTACAAAACACCAGAAAAACTTGAAAACACGTGCGTAGCCGTTGGAAACATATGCAACCTCCAGATGAAACATTTACAACATACATATGAAATACCTAAAACACTCGAAACATACGTTTGAAACATGCATGTATCTGCAACATCCATATCTACTTTTACAACATCCAAATAAAACACTTGTAACATATGTCTGAAACAGATGAAACATTTTGATCAAACTCTTGCAACATTAGCCATTGCAACATGTGCAACATCCCGATCTACTTTTGCAACGTCCATATGAAAACACTTGCAATATACCTCTGAAACATCTGAAACACTTAAAACATACGTTTGCAACATGCGCTTTCAGCGCAACATCTGTCACACCAGCGGAAGTGGCGTGACAATGTTTTCCACGTCGAAAACGCCGTCTAACGTGGCAGATGTGTGGCGCGACAACGTTATTTGGTCGCGCCACGCGGCACTAGCGCGACCAAAAGGGTCAAATCTATATTTTTTAGAGCAATTATTATTAAAATATTCAGTAAAAAGGATTAAAAAAAAAAAAATCCCGATAGTAGCCGCTCGAGTTTTGGAGAAGCTATGGCCTCCGCATCAGGTCAGCGATGACGAGGAGTCGGATGCGCAAAATCCTGCTCTTGTCATACAGATCCCTCGCTGATGGAGGCCGACTCGCCGTCGCGCCGACCCTGGTCTGGGACTCCACCAGCGAACCCAGACGCACCTCCATTCGTCCGCTCCCTGGCCTCGGCCCGGTCGTACTGAGGGCGGGAGGCTTTGCTTCGGCGACTCTCAAGCATCGTCGAGTGAGTTGGAGTTGACCTCCCCAGTAGGGAAGGTGAAGGCCGGCGACGAGGTCATCAGGCGTCATAGATGGGCCCATGGTCGAAAGCGCTATGCTCGCTCACCATGAGCATGCGAGCGGGGTCGTGAGCGGTGTTGCCGGCCGGGTGCCGACTCATCAGAGGCTCAGAACTCGAGCTCCCTCAGGCCGTCAGCGCCGAATCTCTCCTCCAGTTGCGGACGACTGCTCGCTCGTTCACCATGAGCCTGCAGATGGGGTCGCGAGCGGTATTGTCGGCCGGGTGTCGGCTCATCAGAGGCTCGGACCTCGAGCTCCCACAGGCCGCCAGCGCCGAACCTTTGCTCCAGCTGCGAACGGTTGGCGTGACGTGCTAGCGCGCGAGAACAAGGTTGGGCGTAACAGCTCGGTGCCGGTAGAGGTGTGGCCGCATAGACGTCGACCACCGAGGTGCATCCCGGAGGATCTGCACGGCAAGTGCCTCAACTGTCTCTCTTCCTCCCACCGCGTGGCAACTTGTAGGCTGCCCCCAACGCTGTCTGCGCTGCCGCGGCTTCCAACACATTGCGTGCGACTACATGCGACGGCGCACGGCTGCCTCCAGTGGCTCCGACGCAGCGGACGCCGGCAACGGACAGCAGGCCCGCTTCAGGCAGCCATGTCGTGGTTCTAGGCCGGCACCACCGATCGTTGCCCCAGCCAGGGGCCGCACTCTGTCTCCGGAGCCGGGAGGTCACCCTTCCGCTCCCGTCATTCCCCTACCCGAAGGAGCCTACGGTGGGGAGGCCGGGCCGTCGCTAGGTCTAGGTTGGGGCCAGTTCCGTCGTTCAGCCCTCACAATTTCGTCGTGGTGGGTTCCATTGGATGCCTGTTGTTGGGATTTGAAGTCCGAGAGCGCCTGCCTGGTCGCCGAAATACGTGCCACCGTTCTCGTCCGTCCGTCAAGGGCAGCAGGGGCCTTTGCAGCAATGCGTGCGCTCGACGACGATCGCTCCAGCACAAGATCTTGAGGCCATGGTCTTGATCAAGACATAGTTGCCTGGCATCTCGTGGGACCCCATGTCCTGTGAGTGGGGCGTGATGTCAAAGCCGGATTCACCAGTTATCTCTTCGCAGGGATGCGCTGAACGGATGGGTGTAGCATGTTGGGAGCCAGAGTTCGCGGTGGACCGTCGTTTGGGCTGTGTCGGGCCTTGGATCCTATGATGGCTGAAGTGGATGCCTACCTGCGGCCCGGGTCATTGTCTGCTTGCAGGGAGGGTGTGGCAGATCCATGCTCGATGACGGCGCTGAGTACTTCTTCGAACGATCACGCCGCACAGCCATTGTCGCTGTCGTCTGCACTGCCGAAGCCGACGACATCTGCGGTGGCTGACCTCCTTGCCAAGATTTGTGTGCCCATCCAGACCCCCGTCCTCTCCGAGCTGCCTCGACAGCGTGTCGCGAAGAAGCGCCAGTTCGGGCGCCTGATGTCGCCACGAAGGAGTAGGGGACTTGCAGCGAA